CGATGGGCTCGTGGGACCGAGAGCCGCAGACGTGCGGGTGGTCGACGCCTCTCGGCACGAGCGCCCCCAGCTCGGCTCCCCCGACGGGGGGGTGGCCGATGCAGCCCAGCTGGGGAGAGGGATACTGGAGGCCCAGAACTAGAGGCAAGGGGCGCCACGCAAAGCCTGGCATGGTGCTCAGAGGCCTCAACTGCAGCGCCTGGGGCACCCTCGTCGACCATCTGGATGAGATGCCGCTGGGCAGGAACACCATCATGCTGGTCCAGGAGCACCGCCTCACCAGCGACTACGTCGGCGAGATCAGCGCCAGCTGTTTCCAGAGGCACCTCACCGTCGCCCTTGCTCCCGCGGCAGTGGGGCCAGGTGGCGGCAGAGTGGCAGGGGTGGGGATCGTCGCCCCCCGCTGCGTGGGCCTCACCTACCTGGAGGGCGTTGACACCTTCGACTTCTCGCCGCCAGGATAGCCAGGAAGGCTGGTGGCGGCCTGGACCCCTGGGTTTCTTCGTGGTGGCCTCATGGTCCTCAGCGCCTACTTCTGGGTTTCAGAGGGCTGGGCAGTTCGCAACCTGTCCATCTTGGACGCCATAGGAGAATTAGTGAGGGCCTACGACATACCGTGGGTCCTCCAGGCGGACTTCAACAACACCCCCCGACACGCTCAGGGCCACGGGCTGGGTGGATGACGTCGGGGGCATCATCTTCTCCTCGGCCGCCCCCACCTGCCAAGGCAAGGGAGGCGGGAGGGTCATCGACTACTTTGTGGTGGACACGCGCATCGCGTCAGCCTTCGGTGCAGCGGAGGTGCTCGACGCGCCCACCGCCCCGCACAGCCCCGTCGCCATCGCGACGGAGAGGCCACTGCGGGAGAGGCTAGGCTGGAGGCTGGTCAAGCCTCGTGCCTTCCCGACTCGCCTCCCCGTGGGCTGTCGTAGGGAGCCGCCAGCCTGGCCGATCCTCGACAGCGGAGCAAGATACAGCGACGCCGAGCTGGAGAAGTTGTGGGCGGAGTTCTCGGCGGCGGCCGAGCACGACCTGCAGGGCATCCACGACCTCGTTGGCGAGGCCGACTACACTGGCAGGGGGGGCCACCCTCGATGGGCCAGAGCCCCGATCGCAGGCCCAGAGGCGCATGCGAGGCCCAGGGGCACCACGCGCTCCAGGGCATGGCGCTGGGTGGCCAGCCGCGTCGGGGACATCGTCTGGCTGGCGCAGGCGGCCCGCCAGCGGCGCGACTGGCAACCGTTTGCCGACCAGTGGCGGCGCCTGCGCAGACGCCTCCACCATGGTGCTGCCCGCTGGTGCGACGCGCTGGGCGACGACGCCAGGACCGTGCACGTCGAGCTCCTATCGCTGGGCGACCTCACCTGGGACGGGGACGCGCTCTGGGAGGACGCTCCCAGGGCGATGGAGCTGCAGCGTCGGGCCACGCAGCAGGCCCACGTCCTCGAGCAGGGCCTCCGAGACCAGAGGGTAAAGTCGTGGCGGCAGAGGCTCAAGGACGGCTCACAAGGAGGAGCAGGTTTTGTCCATCGCATGTCGAAGTGGCGCCAGGGGGTCGACCCCACGCTCGGGGCCAGAGGGCGCACCAATCTGGACATGACCTGCCCACAGGCCGCGGTGGACCTGGAGGCGCTGAAGTGGATCGACCTCTGGACCTCCCACGGCGCCCAGAGCCGAGGCGAGCTCCCTCGGCCCTGGGAGGCGGCCACTTTCGAGCATAGCATGGTCGAGCCTACAGAGGACGACATCAGGGCCATATGCAGAGCCTTCCCAGAGCACACTGGGGCTGGAGTGGACAACTGGCACCCCGGGTGGTTTGCGAGCTTGGGGGACGAAGGGCTCGTGTTCCTGGCCGCCTTCGTCGCCTAAGTGTCGCGCACGGCCAGGTGGCCCCCCCCCAGCTGCGCTACGTGATGTATTTTCTACTGGCCAAGCAGGGTGGGGGGACTAGGCCCATCGGCCTCCTCACCACTGCATCGCGGCTAGTGGAGCGCGCGCACTCGCACCAGCTCCACGACTGGGAGCGGGAGGTTCGACGGGACTACGACTTCGCGGCGCCAGGCGGGGGATCAGAGGAAGCGATATGGCAGCATATGTTGTTCGACGAAGGAGCCCAACCTGGGGAGGTGACGGGCACGGCGGTCTTAGACCTCGAGAAGGCGTTTGAGCATGTCACGATGTACTTGCTGTGGGCCGAGGCGCCCAAACATCAGTTTCGTTTGCAGCTTTTGAAGCTCCTGATCTCAATATACACAGCCACGCGCTTTGTTTCGTTCCGCGGAGTGGTGTCGGTGCACTCGGTCACCACCTTCTCTGCAGTCGTTGCTGGCAGCAGCGGGGGCACGAGATGCCTCAAGCTAGCTATTTTGTCAGTTGTAGACGGGTTGGCGCAAGAGCACCCTGCCATGCAGCTTAAGCTATTTGTCGATGACTTAAGCATTCAGGCGCGAGGTGCGGAGGCGGATGTCTCGGCCTCGTTGCATGCGGCCACGACCCAGTATATTGATGAAATGGAGGCCCGTGGGATCCCCGTCTCCAGGGCCCGACCAGACAAGCCGAAGGGCAAGGGGTTCATCATGACAGCGCAGCGCTCCCTGCGGGCCCGCATCAAAGGCTGGGCCCACAGCCTGGGACTGGAGGTCCAGGCCAACAGCACGCAGCTTGGAGTTGATTCGGCGGGAGGAGGAGTTGTGTCGCTGCGCGCCAGGGCCGATGCCAGGATGGGGAGCGCTCGGCGACGCAGAAGTAAGTTGTCGAGTCTCGGCAAGCAGGGTGCGCGCACTTTTCAAGTTGCGCGTATGGGATTTCTCCCCTCTGTGCTGTATGGGGCGGTCTACCTCGGAATGGACCCGACTCGGCTCACCCGAGCGAGGGCTCTCATGGCTTCAGCGCTGGGCGGGAACGCAATCGGTAAGGGCCGACTGCTGCGCCTGTGGACGCTTCGCTGCGACCCCCTGGTCGACGCTTGCACGAAGCCACTGCTCAAATGGGCGGGGGCTATCTTTGCTGGCAGCCATGAGGAGATCATGGCTGCGGGGTGGCGTAGAGCTGTTGCGGCGGCTGCTGCCGCCAAGCCTGGGAGCAACCCCTGGAGACAGATAAAAGGACCTGCCTCAGCCGCCTGGGCCACACTCCATCTCCTCTCGTGGACGTGGCCTGCCCCTCACGTTTTCTCCGACCATCCCGGGCAGCACTGGGAGCTGCGTCGGACGGCACCGCAGTGTCTCAAGAAGCTGATCTGGACCCGTTTAGAATTTGCGGTTATGACCTCCTGGGCGGCCTCCAGGGACCTCGGTATCACCCGTCCTTTCCTCGAGCCTATTCGGGCTCTCCTTCGGCGAAAGGCTGACCGATCGCCGCAGAGGCGATCGGCTATCCTGGCCTACATAGGCCGAGATTTCTGGACCCAGGAAAAGGTCTGGCGCGCGGGCTTCGGGGGCGACAGGTCCTGCCAAGCCTGTGGCGCAGAAGTCGGATGTCAGCACCATCGTTTCTGTTGCTGCCCAGACCGAGGAGCGGCGAGAGCCACCGTCGCAGAGGCTGAGGGCCTCCAAGGGATCGTGCATCGTGCTGAATCCTCCTCCTCGGGTTCCCTCCTCTTCTCCCGTGGGCTTCACGAGCACCCCCTGGAGGACCCGCAGTCTGATTGTATTACTGCCCTGGAGGATGAAAACCCCGATTTTGTGAATCCCCCGCTGGTCTCAGGGCGGGCCTACTCCGACGGATCGGCCAGAGGCCCACCAGGGCTCAAGAGCTTCGGTTGGGGCTTCGTTTTCCTGGACCAGGACGGGGGGGCTGTCAAGGCCATGCGGGGTACCCTCCCAGGGCTGCGTATCCTCGCCTCCGTCCTCCGTGCTGAATTGTATGGATTGCTCAAGTTGCTGTATAGCGCCCACCCTCCGCCGAGGGTAGGGATCGACAACAGTTCCGTCATTCGAGGCCTCCGTAGAGGACCCCGTTGGCGCTGCAGCCCTCGGAGGCCCCACGCCGACCTCTGGGGCAGGATTTGGGCCCAGCTCCAGGATAGTTTCAGCCAAGAGGGCGACTTCCAGGCCGTCAAGGTAAAGGCCCATGCGCGCGGGCCGAAGGATGACTCGCACGAAAGTTTTCTCGATTTTCAAGGGAACCAATTGGCAGATAATGAGGCCCGCCTAGGGGCCGACATGCAGGAGGCCCCCCCGTGGAAGGCCCAGACCTGGACCACCCGCTCGGCGGAGGTCCAGGCAGTGTTGACTCTGGTGGCGGGGGTGACGGGGTTGACTGCGGACTTCGGGGGTTCCACGGGGAGGCCTGCCGCGGGCTCCAGCGGGGCCCGCCGAAGGCGGCAAGGACCGCCCGAGGGGGCCCGAGCTCACGTCCTCCTCTGGAGGAGGGGGGGCGTGGCGTTGCTCGACGTGTGGCCGCAAAGCTTTCTCCAGCAAGACCAAGCGCGCGTTGGCGCGCAGACCTTGCCTGGGTAAGATGAGGGTGGATCGTCGTTGGGGAGTTGGGCTGGGGCGGGGGGATGGGGAAGGAGACATTTCTCCCGCCCTCCGTGGAGCGGCCCTTGGGCACGAGCTGCACCGAGTGGGCCAGTATACATTCTGCGATCGGTGCGGTGTCTTTTCGAGCGAGAGGGGGTGCAAGCTCCTGGGCGCCTGCGTCGGGGCCCCAGCGAACTCCACCGCAGGGCACCGCCTCTCGCTCCTGCGCCGAGGCAGGAATCCTTATGCAGTAAAGGTCTCCCTCGAAGCGGCACCGCGCTCCCTGGTACAGGAGGAGTGTGACGCTTTCTGGGAGTGCCTCATGGACTGAGGCAGGACGGGGCGGGAGGCACCCCGTCGCGGAGTGCCCGCCCATCCTCTTTCTCTTGTGGCGAGCTGGGGCGGGGACCGCCAGGCATCGTTCTTGCAGCAAAAACCCTATCCTCCTCCTCCTCCTCGTCCTGCTGCTCCTCCTCCTCCCTCCTCCTCATCCTGTTCCTCCTCCTCCTCCTTCCCTTCTCACCTTCTGTCTGCCAGGAGGGCATCCTGGCAGCGCGCAGCTCCTCGACCCTGTCGGGCGCAAGCGCGGGCTCCGCCGCGTCCGGGAGCGGCCTGCCTGGCGGGCAGAAGGCGTCCGCCGAGAGTGCGCGCCCCCCTTCCCCTGGCCTTCCTTCGGGGCGGTAGGGCGAGGAGGAGGAGGAGGGACCGATGGGGGAGGAGGGACCGAGTTGCTCAGGGGTCGAGGAGGAGGGGGGCGAGGCGGACCAGGAGCCGGAGGAGGAGGGTGTCGAGTAGAGCTGTAGTCTGCATGTCCCCTTACAGGGGCGAGAAAGAACAATGTTTTTTCAGTGGTGCTCGCTGAACCACAGTTGTTTTGCTATTTTGCGTGCTCATAGCGTGGTTTGTTGCATATGGTGAAGCACTGGTGTGTTGCTTCGTTTTTGACTAAACACACTATTTTGCATGCGTTCTATAACTTTCTTCGTGTATCCATTTACTCGTACACAAAGCGACTCACCCGTAACACGTTCAAGCTCGTCGACATGTCAGTAGAACATCGCACACGTCCAGGGTGTCGGGGCTCTTGAGGGCACTTGGCGAGGCAATGCGCGTCAGGTATTTTGGGGGCACGTAGATAAAGGCAATATCGGGTCTCCTAGGAGCACCAGGAGGCACAGCGTTCTTTTTGATATTCACGAGCTTGTGGCCAGTGCAGCATCATAGCCACTTTGGCTTCCTAGTTTTACCCGCATTCGCATGAGTGACATTGGTGATCTGAGCAATGATGACATTGCTGCGTACTCTTCTTCAGTTCTGGAACAGCAGAATTATCAGCTCGAGCAACTGATCGATGACGAGCTGCTCCCACCTCCTCACAAGCCTTCTTTGGCCCAAGGGGGCACCAACGCAGATCCCTCACACATAACATCCCTTCTCATCTCTACGCAAGGCTTTGTTGCACAGGCTGTCATAACATCACTGTCATTATGGAGGCCACTTCAAATCCCCCCCACTGAAAATCTATGTGTCAGGTTGTCGCAAAAGAATACTTGTTGTACAGGCTGCTACAACAAGGATCGCACTGGTGGGATATGTGCATCATGACAACTAGCGACAGCCACAGGTGAACATAGATGAATCCCCTATTTTCAATATAGCAATCCCAGTGCGACCCTACCTAGGCATTGGAGCCCCTGGGAAAGCAGCACCAACTAAGCTAAGCTGAGCTAAGCTAGGCTAAGATAGCTAAGCTAAGCTAAGGTGAGATAAGCTAAGATGGGCTCAGCTAGGCTAAGCTAGGCTAGGCTAAGCTAAGCTAAGCTAAGATGAGGTGAAATACGCTAAGCTAAGCTAGGCTAAGGTAAGTTAAGCTAGGCTAAGTTAAGATGAGATAGGCGTCGCTAAGCTAAGTTAAGCTGAGCTGGGCTGGGTTGGGCTAAGTTAAGCTAGGCTAAGCTCAGCTGAGATGAGATGAGATGAGCTAAGTTAAGATGATAGAAGGGACGCTCAGCTAAGCTAAGATAAGCTAATCATGAGATAAGCTAAGGTGAGATAAGCAAGCTAAGATGTGATACGCATTGCTAAGATACGCTAATATGAGATAAGCCACGCTAAGATTTGCTAAGATAAGTTCAGCTAAGATGAGATAAGCAACGCTAAGCTAAGCTAAGCTGAGCGAAGGTGAATAAGCTCAGCTAGAATGAGGTAAGCTAAGCTAAGATGAGCTAAGCTAAGCTGGGGGAAACGCGGGGCGGATGCCGGGGGAACCGCCCGGGGCGTGGTCCACTGCCCGGCCCTTTAAACTTATACAGTAAGAACCTTTCTAGGCAGAGCCTAGGTAGGGAAACAAACACATGCGTTTCCATGGTTGCCATGTGTTTTGTGTAAACCTGCCACTCTCAGGGGTTATGGTGTAAAGGCTGCCACACTAGGATTTCAAGTCCAGTGTGGGGGACCTCCACCATCAGAATGTTTCATCTGGTGCGGGTGTCTCGCCAGGTTGTAATTGCACGAACGGCGGGCCCTACCGAGACAGACTCCTTCGCGTCGTTCAGAACACGGCGGGCGTTTGTTTTGGGGGGTGGCTGCCGGGCTTCCGGAGAGCTTCGTCGCCTCGAAAATCCGGGTCGCAGCAACGATCACCGAGTGAGTTTTGAGGGGCGTTTTTACAACTTCACCAAGGCGAAAAGGGGTCTTGGGAGATGCGTGTCCTGATGTCGTTCGCCGTTCTTCGCCTCCGAGACCCCCTTACTGTGACCCGTCCCATCAAAGCACAACTCGAGAGAAACGATAATAAGAGGAGCAGGAGGAGCAGGAGGAGGAGGAGGAGCAGGACGAGAAGGTGGAGGAGGAGGAGGAGGAGGAGGAGAAGAAGAAGGAAAAGGAGGAGGAGGAGGAGGAGGAGGAGGAGGAGGAGGAGGAGGAGGAGGAGGAGGAGGAGGAGCGTCCAGAATCACTTCCTCTCGGGGCCTCCGATCTCTCACGGCCAGCCTAGACACCTGACGTCGTGATTTTCCGAGTCGCTGGCCCCAGAAATCCGAACTCCTTCCCCGTGGCTAGTCGGTGGGTCCTGGCTAATATGTGCTGACGGCCCCGGCCCCGAGAGGCCGAAATGACGGAAAACCGATCGAATTGATCTAGGCTTCCTAGATGGTGTCGGAGTAGATGGAGTCGGAGGATCGCTCCGCATCGCCGATGCATCGCCGATGCGGCTCGATGTGCAGCCCTTTTGCTTCACGTCAACGTCGCCGATGCTCCGCCGACGTCGACGATGCATCGCCGGTGCATCGCCGATGCATCGCCGATGCATCGCGGATGTATCGCCGATGCATCGGCGATACGGCGCGATCCTCCGACCTCATCTACTCCAATCCCATCTAGGACGCCTCTGATAGAACAAATCAATATGCCTGTCGTCTGGGAAGGTTCGACGATCTTTAGGACGCGTGTTAGCTCAAGCGTATGTTCACCTCGCTCGGTTTCACCAGTGGCGCGCAGATTTTGTCTGTCCTCGTTGCGCCGCCTACGTCAGATTGAAGGGCCTCGGTGGACAAGGAATCGTTTGCGCTAACACATGTTCTGAGGATCACCGAAAGGTGTGCATCGACGCGGACACCGAGGTGCCCTTCGAGCTCTACCTGGACTTGGTGGAGTCTGGCAAGCGCGCCCGGGCTCGCGGGCAGCACCACAAGGTCCGAGAGTTGCAAAAGGTGCCACAGGTTTTCGCTCTATTTGGGGGCTCCCCTGGGCCTCGTGAGGGCTGCTCTGGATCAGAAGCGCAAGCGGTCATGATCATGATACGTCGATTCCCGGCAAGATATCCGAGCGTGCCCGACGGGCCGCAGAAACGAGGGCTGCCAGATACCATGGAAATCCTGAGGCGCATGCTGACACAGTCCTACCATGACACAATTGTGGTCCTACTGTCGGCCCGTATCATAAGAAGGATGCGCAATAAGGATGCGCAAGGGCCTTGGACGCCCATTTCGAAGCTTTTCGAGCGGGGCGTGGCCGACGAAAGCGGCGACGGATGGACCGAGGAGGCAAGGATGCAAGGGTATCCTGAGGGAAGATTGCGCAGTTCCGTTCTGCAGGTTGACTGCACTGGAGGCCGTGGGGACCTCCCTGGAAGGTCCGGGGACACCTTTCGGGCCGGGCGAAAGGGGGGCATTGGGAAAGGGGGGGTTACGAAATCTGCTGCATGCAGCTGGTTTCGGCCCCGCCGCCGGGCCCATCCCTCGATACCTGGGCGCCTCCCGGCGCCGGGAGGCGGCGGGAGAATCAGCTACGTGAGCTGATTCTCAAAACCCCCCCTTTGCTATCCCCCCCTTTCGCCCGACCCGAGCCTTGGGCCGTGCACGCTCCCGGCGACGCCCAGAGAGGTCCGGCCGCGCTCCGGGAGCCAGGCCGCCGCCTCGCGGCAGCCACTGCGCCGGCCGACGCGCCTCGTCAGCTCCGAGGCCGGCCAGGCGTGAGTGGCGAGGCCCCGGCAGCACGAGGCGCAGGCGTGCCAGCGGCGATGTGGGCAGGGCTCGGTTCGACGTCCGGTGGCTTCCGAGTCCGGTTCGATTCGACTTCGGATGCCGATGCGGGTTCCGATGTCTCGCTGCGGGCCTAATTGCTAAACTGCCGATGTCCGCCGATTCGACGTTTCCCGACTCGGCTGCCGCTTTCAGCCGAGTCGATGCATTTCGATCGCCGATCCGACTCATCGATTCGATCTTGGGCTCTCCTGTGTTGTTGGAAACGGCGATGTCGGTTTGGACGCTGTTGGTGGGATTGGTCCGTGGCCGATCCTATGGCAGGAGGGCGTGGCTCGTGCTTCCCTGCAATGCACCGTGTCTTTGTTGCTCGACACACGCTCGCGCACCTGACACGTAGGAAAGCGTCGTGGCTCGGGATGTCCCACCAGTTGCTCTGCGCGAGCTCGGCGTCGCAGAATCTAGATCCCCAACATCACCGTCAACTGACATCGCCATTTTCGGTAGCGACTCACTGGAGCCTGGTATACCCGTATACCCCCTTAGTTCCTTCTCCTAGCGTCGACTAGAGTCGATGAGCGTCTGGGAGCCGATGAGATAGCGCCGATTTAGCGTCGGCTAGCGTCGATGAGCGTTGATCTGGCGTCGATTCGTGTCGAGTTGGCGTCGATCAGCGTCGATTCGCAAGAGCCGACAACATGGTATGGGAGGCTCCCATGAGCTGCCACCGAAGCCGTTCGCGCGGCCTCGAGCGAGGCTCGAAACTAGTAGGGACACTGCTCCCATGAGCTTGAGTCAGGCAGTACTGCAAACATCGCGCATCCACAGCTTGAGAGATTCTTTGGTTTCATCGAGCGAAGGAGGACCCCGTCCCGAGTGGCCCGCGGGCCTTGGTCTGTTCTTCTCCCGCCGCGCTCGGGCCTCGCGGTGCCCTTCTCTCCCTGGGCCCCGGGCCTCTCTTCTGGAACGACTGGGGGCGCCGGGGCTCCTTTGTCGATTCTCGGGGCTCCGGAGATGGTGGTGAGTGCAAGCGGGGGTCAGTCAGAGCGCCGGGATCCTGCAGGATCCTGCAGGATCCTGCAGGGCCAGGGTCGCATTGGCCCGGGCCTGGGTGCAGGACCCTGCAGGATCTTGCAGGATCCTTCGCATTGACCCGGGCTTGGGTGCAGGATCTTGCAGAAGTCTGAAAGGCCTGACTGACCCGGATCTGGATTGACCCGGGTCAGAAGATTCCCGAGATTCCTCCGGCCCGATTTGCTTCGATTGGCTTTCGATCGATTCCGATTGCGATCCCGTCCGACTTCGGATTCCGATGTGACTTCGGTTTCTCATTAGGGAGGCCTTGATCACGAGCCTGCCGATCTTTGCAGAGTCGATTTCTCCCGATTGGCTTTCCATCGGGTCCGATTCTGATCCGGTTCGATCTCGGATTCCGATGTGGCTTCGGTTTCTCCATGGAGGCCTTCGTCACGAGCCTGCCGATTTTTGCGAGAAGTCGGTCTCCCGACTGGGAGCACAATAACCTCTAACCCCAATAACACGATGAAGACGTGGCCTCACTCAGGGCCCCGTCGGTGCATCAGGGATCACAGATCTGGGCGGTGTCGTTCTGCACAAAGGCCCCCTATTCCCAAGGTTCTCGCCCCTCCTAACTGAGGTCCCCTCCCAAAGAATGAGGGTGTTAAATCGGGCGTGTCCCTCTACAGGAAGAATTCCCAACCATCCTGTGGTGTTGGGTCCTCGTTTTGAAGAGACAGCGCCCCGCGTTCCTCCCCTCTCATCTCCTCTCCTCTCCTCTCCTCTCCTCTCCTCTCCTCTCCTCTACTCATCCTCCCCCTCATCCTCCCCCTCCTCCCTCCTCCCATCCGCCTCGTCACCTCCCTGCGTTTCACCCACCCAGGACAGCGTTTCGTGGCCCATAGAGAGCTCCACCGAAGGCCCCAGTGGCAGGGTTCGCATGCGTCCCCGCGACCATGTCGGCACACCCCTCACACGGTTCGTGGACCCATAGGGAGCTCCACCGAAGGCCCCAGCGGCAGGGTTTGCATGCGCCCCCCCCATTTCGGCACACCTCTCACGAGGATCGTGCTCCCATAGGGAGCTCCTCCGAAGGCCCCAGCGGCAGGGTTTGCAAGCGTCCTCCCGCCCATGTCGGCACACCCCTCCCGAGCATCGTGGCCCCAAAGGGAGCTCCACCGAAGGCCCCAGCGGCAGGGTTTGCATGCGCCCCCCCGCCCATTTTGGCACACCCCTCACAAGGATCGTGGCCCCGTAGGGAGCTCCACCGAAGGCCCCAGCGGCAGGGTTTGCATGCGCCCCCCCCATTTCGGCACACCCCTCACGAGGATCGTTGCCCCATAGGGAGTTCCACCGAAGGCCCCAGCGGCAGGGTTTGCATGCGTCCCCCCGCATATTCGGCACACCCCTCACGAGGATCGTGGCCCCATAGGGGGTTCCACCGAGAGCGGTACCCACAACGCGGTACTCACAGCTGCATATGGCTGGGCCCTTCGCCAGGATTTTTAAAATATGTTTTGACTACTTTGGGATACGTTTTTGAATGCTTCTAATTCTCCGCCCAACATCCGTCTGGGACGTGCCGGACCTAGCGCCGCTAAGCCGACTTCGGCGGATGCGGTGCCTTCTGCCCGCCGATCCGACTCCTCGATTCGAGGTGCTGGTCTTTCACAGGTGAGAGGCGGAGCGGGCCGGCCCCGGAGCCCCGGCCCCGTGATTCCCCGCCCCCCCGCGCGGGCCCCTGCCCCGCACGACGGGCTCCTGGCGACTTGGGCCACGTCGGGCATCTCCCCAACAGGAGAACAAGATGTTGTCTGGGGACGATGCTTCCACCATTCTTCGACCATTTCTGATTTTTGCTTGGCTCTTTTTTTCTCTTCTCCCAGAACGTCCGCCTGCAGGACGACGTGCCCGACCTGAGACTTGGGCCCCGATCTGAGCTCTTCCAGATCCGCGGCCCCAGGGCTCCCGACCCCTTCCCTCAGGGGGGGAGGGAGGGAGGGAGGGAGGGAGGGAGGAAGTGGGAGGGCGGGAGGGAGGGAGGGAGGGAGGGAGGGAGGGAGGGAGGATGAGAGTGAGGGCGGGAGTGGGGGGGCGCCAGCGTCCCGCATCCATGTTTGGTGGTACTGGGTCCCCGGGCCGAAGCCTAGGAAGATCGCCGGGATTGAACAACGCATTCATCGTTACGTCGGGCCCGTCCCTCGACAGGAGGACCATTCAAAAATCGTCAAACAATGGTCGGGGTACCATTGATCGACTAACGCTGACAATTTTTGAATGGTTCCGGTGAGTGTTTGATGTTTCGTCCAGAGATCCGCCTGCAGGGGGGCATGCCCGACCTGAATTTGTATCGGAGATCTGGGTGGGAGGTGTGTGAGGACTCTGCCCGGCGGCACCTCCGCATCGAATTCGCTTTCTCTTCCGCCGCCGGTGTGCGCGCCAGAGCGGGCTTACAGAGGCGTGGCGCCGCCCACACGTGGCGGCCTCTGGCCTGGGGACCCCCCTCCCGCCAACCTCGCGCGAGGAGGGGGCGGAGGTGTGCACGGCAGACTCGGGGAGGACTCTCAGTACAGAGGGGCCCAGACACGGCAGGGCCGTTTTTCCCCTCGAAGACCGATTTCTGACACCAGCCACCTGTGGATCCGCGATTCTATGATAGGCCCTCGGGGGTGGAAGTGGGTAGTTTTTCCTTCCCCTGGGGCGGGGAAACTGCCCACGTCCACCTCTGGAAACCGCTTTTCGCAAGGCACCCCGGGAAGTGGGTGTGGTCAGAAATCGGTCTCCTATTCTCACCGCTTCCGAAACAAAGTGTCGTAACCATGGAACCAGCAAGAATACGGCCACCGGATCCGACAGCAAAACACAACGGCCCCGGGATGGGAGCAGGAGCCAGAGCTGGGGAAGAAACGGCGGCGGAACCGGCAAACAAAAGGGAAACCGAACCGGCAAGGAAAACGGCAAAACGGAACCGGTAAAAAACGGTTTTGCCGCTTCCAGGGCCCAGTAAGGGGAGGACAAGCGCACCCCAGAGCAGACGCACCATTGACGCTTTGGATGTGTCTTGTCTTCTGGATCACTTGTTGTAATTATTCATGCAGCATTGTATTCGTAGCACGGCTGCGTTCTCTTTCAGGCTACTGTTCACTAGATGAGTTTGCCTATGGCAGGTCGACTCTTGTGGCGTTCCCAGTCTGTTTGGCGGAACTTTTGATCGCTCGGTGCTGCCACGCAGTTGAGACATGTTGTGGCCGCGTCCTCCTCCCCCTCCTCCCCCCGAAAAACAAATGAAGCACGTATTGTCAAACCATGTCTGGAGTTCAGTATGAAGTGCTCTCGATACCTTGAACGGATTCGCCTGAATGTCTGCCTTCGTGAGAAGTTCGTCTTCCTTGACGACTGCAGCTCGTGTGGCTGTAGCGGTCACATATAATCGCATCGTAGTGACACAGTCGACGTCCAATATCCTATGTTGTTGTTCGGATCAGTCTATCTTCGGCATGTTTGCCGCAAAGCAGAGCCCTACATATTGTCCGTGCTCGTCGGAATGCAATCCATAACTGTCATATTCGTCCGTGGAACACAATGGGACATGATATGTCCCAGTTGTGTGAATTAGGCAAGTGTCCTTGCTCTTCTTCAGCTATTGTGACCAGCGCGCTGTTATCAGAAGTCATATGTGTGGGTGCAGTGTACAGTTTTTTCTATTGGAGTGGCCCCCAGCAGTTCCCTTTCGTCGTGTAGTTCTGTGTACCACACGTCGGTAATGTGTGCCTCGAGGTCCGCCTCTGATTCTTCATAGATTGTGGGAAGCCGGCCATTTCCCTGTGGTGGTTCGGCTTCTGGGGCCTCCCTGGCATTACTGTTTTGTGTTGGCATGTCTGCCAGTTCATCGAACTTCGTCACGTCTTGGCGTTGATGGGTGGACTTCAGGAGTGCAGTAGCGCAGATATGCAGGGTTCACGTAGGAGACGTCGTGA